TTAAAAAAAAAAAAAAAAAAAAAAAAAAAAAAAAAAAAAAAAAAAAAAAAATCTTATATTTTATGATATCTGATATTTCTTCAGGGGTGACTATTTTCATCGGAACTGGTTCAAGGGGTTCGAGCTGCTCTGCTTCCTTTACAGGGTCAAACTCGAACTCGCCTTTGCCTGGGGGGTTCGGTGAAAAAGTTTGCTCTAGGTGAAGGCTGAAAGTTTCGGACTGACTCTGCCCATTTTCCATCCGGATTTTTAATAGGAGGAGAGAAAATAATTGATCTTTTCAGATAGCGAGTAGCTCTCCAGAGAGAGTACGCAGTGTTTTTTGTTGGAGTGAGATTCCTGAAGTAAAACCATTTTTAACTCCCAATTCCACAATGTTTTATAGCTCTAACTTGAATTTTGCCGTCCTGAGGGGAACATTCAGTAGTCTAATGGATTAATCCATGGTCTCACAAACTAGCAGCTTTCAGGAGTATGATTTTTAGACTGTTGAATGTTCCCCTCAGCACGGCAAAATTCAAGTTGGAGCTACCAAATATTGTAGAATTGGGAATTAAAAATTGTTTTAATTCAGGAACAGTACTCAACATTTACTCCAAAATGAGACGGAAGATAAAGAATGCAACGAATCTTCAAAGAATCAAAGATACATCCATTTTTAGGAAGTTTAATTTTCACCCTGTATTTCACCTATTTGTAGATAGTTAGCTATATTTTTAAGTTTACTTTAAGTTCTTCTCATGTTCTCATCTTTTTCACCTTTCATTCATTCATCATTAGTAGTTAGCTATATCTAAGACATATATGTTTCATATTCTTAAGCTAAAAGTGCTAAAGAGGTTGTTCCAAAAACTCCGATTTTGCCCCCCCCCCCCATATTGGCCCAAACTTTGCTCAGATGTTGTACTAAGTGTCCCCGATGCTTGGGCAAAATTTCAGCCCCCTCGGATAATTAGGGAGAGGGGACAAAGTTGCAATTTTTTCAAAACTTTAAAAATCGATATCTCGCGATTTACCCTTTACCCCCCAAGGGGGACATGGAGGGTTTCGGGACGATGAAATTCGGATTCTTTGGGGTCAATTCTCTATTCAACCCTGCGGTCCCCCACTTCGTACTACCTAAACCAACCGAGAAAAAGACCTGGTACGGGTGATCTGGGACACCCTTTATAACGAAGTATAAAAAAATATTTATTGGAGGAGAAGGACGGGGAGAGGAGAAAATATCGATAATTACACCCTACAGCATAAATATAAAGCCCTAGCGGTGAAACAAACTCTGCCTCACCCGCGCAGGATGGAGCGCCGCCGATATACCGCCCGCGCGTAACCGGGAACGCTCAGAAAAATCGCTGTAACTCAAGAACGAATCGTTTCTTCAAGGTCAAACAAAGCGTGGTAGATGCAAAATTTCATGGAGAATCACCTCAACAGGTTTTTATTCGCGTAGCAACGATTGCATGGAGCGGAGAGACAAAAACGAAAAGAAGTCGAACCTTCAAAATCGAAAAAATCGATGTATGACTACGATAAATTACGCAACCGTGCAAACAGCATTAATATTCTAGTAGAGAATATGGTTTAACGTTTTTTATCGCAAACCGCAACACTTACACTCAAACCGTTCGCGAGATATCGATTTTTAAAATTTTGAAAAAATTGCAACTTTGCTCCCCTGCCCCCTCCCCCCTAATTATCCGAGGGGGCTGAAATTTCGCCCAAGTATCGGGGACACTTAGTACAACTTCATCCTTTGCAATAAAATTACGGAAATCATGAAAAACTAAGAAATTTAGATGGTAATTTTGGTTTTAAATTTACAGTCTTTAGCTAGTAAAATAGAAACATTTAATGGATAATCGGGTTTTTCCTCCAAGACAAAAGAAGTTGCACAATCTCAGCAACATTGCAATGCTAGTGGTTCCTTTTTGCAAAATGCAATCCATATTACCTAATATGAAATGAATTGGACCCATGTTTACAGTTGAAGGTAGAATCCATCGATTTTTAATTAATTGAATAATTTTTTAGAGGGGTATGGGTGATCATCAACAAATTTGTGAATAACAGAGGAATTATCCACTAAAATTTCTCTCAAATGCCCCTCAGTTCATTTCTGAATCATGTTCTCTTAGGTAGCGTGGCAGCGCAGGTCAAAGTTGCTATCAGGAATAGGGTTCTTACAGAATTGGTCATCTTGCAATAGATTGAGTTTTTACGGCATTGTAAGTTCGAAAATGCTCATCTTCTGGAATGTGATTCCTTTCAGTCTAGTCTACTCAAGATGTGCTCGATCTAAGATTTGATAGGTATGACTTATCATTTAGCTGACTTGGGTTAGCAAGATAGCAGGAATAAAATGTTGGTTGCCCATTTTGGACGCTCGCCACACAACAATACCTCCGTACAAGATGCATGAGAATCAGCTCTTGATGGTATGCGTCCTGAGGCGACCAAACATCGCTGTATGGTGGATGTTCTTTTTGGTAAGTAGATTCACCATAACAGTTTGCCAGGGCTACAACACTTTTTTATCATCCCTTCTCCCTGCTGAAAATCACCTTCAGTATTGTTGGTATTTTTAAAAATGCCCTCTTGCATAGTCTGATAATTATAAAAGAATTTATTGTTTTCTGAAGAGAAAAATGCAGTTGAGAGGATTTTTACGATCCCTGAAGAGAGATAATCTTTGTTGCAGGATGTGAAGAACTCGGACAGTTAAATAATTTACTAAGCTTTCCTTTAACACTGAAGGAAGAAGAAGTCTTCATTGAGTACCTAGAAAGAAGCAATTTGAAACAGGCTAGTGATTTGCGTGTATTTTATCTTCTGTCTCGTGGAAGGTGAGTATATGACTTAGTTATTTGCTCTAATTTTTCACCAATTTTCAGTGGAAATTGAAAGGTGCCTGATCGATTCATAATAGGCAACTTTGATTTAGCTCTAGTGGGATAGTGTAGGAATTTATGCACAAGTAAGTGCACTCTCCCAGCTGAGTGCGATCCAGACGAGTAAAGCAAGCTCAACTTTCGGAAAGATTTGCAGAAGAAAAAAAAAAAATCATGCGTCTGGTTCAGTTACCAGGGAATGTAAATTAAAAAAATTCTTCAACAGGTTGAGAAGAACAGGTAGATTTCATCTTCCTTCATTACACCTTTAAATTTATAATAGAATAGTTTTACTTTATTTATATCTTGGTAGGATTTGTAAAGGTGTCGACAAGTTCAATCTTTCAAGTATTTACACTAGTAATCTAATGCACCCGAATTTCTGTAACATGCATTGTTTAACTCATTTATTATGGAAGCGCAAATTTTAAGGGCAGAGGATATATAGGCGTAGAGGTCATTTATGGCATTTTCCCTAGAATCCCATTTAAGTGAGCTTAGCTCTTTCTGGTGTTCTAGGAGACAGTGTTCTCTGATGTTTTCTTACAATGGGCAATTAAATAGCAGATGTTTGACGTTTTCTGGGGCATACATTTTGCAAAGGGTACATTTCTCAGTTTTGATAATTATGTACGATATCTGGTGAATGCTGACCTTCAGGAATTGAATAGTTTGTGTTCTAAGTTGACAAAAGAACCTTTTCCACCAAATCCTATTTTTCGATGGAGGAAGTTCTGCCCTGGATGTTAACAATGCTGAACAAGGTGTGAGAATTGAGTGTGTGTAAGTTGATTCTCTAATTTTTTCTTGATCGACATGCTCATTCACCTCATTTAACTTTTCAAGAGTTTCCATTATTTTCTCTCTAATCTCAGACCATTTTGAGGTCTTCTAAGATGAACTCACATCCTGTCTTGGCGACTTGGGATTTTCATTGTGTCAACCAGTTAAATTCGGGTAAGTTGTCCCTACGTCAGTCAAGTTCCTTCATTGGTTTAAGGTATATGTATCTTTGGATATCTATTGTTTTCCATGTTACCGATTTTTTACCCCCAGTTCAGACCTCTTTCAAGAAACTCCAGTTCAAATTTTCCTTTGCCCATTTCTGCTCTAACATATGTTATGTTGATTTTTGCAATCTTAGGTTGTCTTTAAAAATCTACATTCGGCTACTTCAAGTTTGTCACAATATCCAAATGCCCATGTTTCAGCTGTATATAGGGAAGATACCAAGGTGACTGAGTCCCACAATTTGAAAATGGTATCAAAGAAGTTATTCATAGCTTTTTGTAAGAGTTGTTTTATCGCATTAGCTGAGGTGCTAGAGCAGCTTACTGCATCATCTGCCTGTTTAGAGAACACTCCTTCACTAGTAAACTTAACGCCTGGGTGTATACAGGGTGTCCGGAAGTTAACGCACTTAACTTTCAGGATCGATTTTTCTGCTCAAAATATGACTATTTTTTCCTGTACACATATGCCCGAAAACGCTTCATAAAGTGAGCTATGCGCTTCCAAATTTGCTGTTTTCTTTCTTTCAAATTGATGTAACTCCTCGTTATTTTGTCGTAAGTAGCTGAAACTTGGTGTAGGGGGGTATTTTTTAGTTGTAGAGTTGGGTTAGTTGTAGGATTGTAGAGTTCTTCACTGCGGTGCTGAGCTGGCGAGGCTCAATCCGAGCCACTGCGACACATTTAATTTACATGGCCGTCTTATCTAATGGCGGGAACAGCTGTGACATAAAAAGCACCAAACGCACTCAGTGAGGACGGAAATTTTCACCTGCGAAAGCATTGCAGTCGAGCTGGAGGCAGTTATCACTTGATTGAAATCCGTGATTAAGTGGTTGCAGTGTTGGCAACTTAGAAAATTTGTCTGTTAAAGACATCTAGAAGATGAATTATCTCGCGATACCAGATGATATCGATATTAGCAGACTTGTGATCCGTAAACAGTCACGATTTGCTTTCTACTGATACCGCATTTAACGAGATAGCTCAAGGGAAACCACTAAACATTGGCAAACAAAGTGGGAGTAGCCGCGGAGCGAACCACTCGCCACCAAGGCTCGAACAAGACTCCGTTCTGACTTCTAATATATAATCTTCAAATCAAATTACAATCCAAAGATATGATCTTTCGTAAACCTCTCAGTATAGGTTGATTACTTTTGCATAAATGTGTCTTTTTGTTTGTGCTGTATACAGGGTGTCCCAAAAGTCCCTTCCACCCCCTCTAAAATTCTATTTAATTAATATTTTGAAACGAAACTTTGGGGATGTTCAGTGATTATTGTTAGCTACTTTTGGGGCCCCTCAAAATTTTCGCCACGGACACTTCGATACGGACCCCAACTTCTTTTTCAAATGACAGCCTCCCCCCCCCCCCCCCCCCNTGGTGACACATCAATCGAAAGAGAATAGAAAAAGAATATTTTTGGCACAAACTGCAAGTCCAAATTTTGATTTTTGGCCAAATGACGACCGGTCTAAGTCCAAAAGAACGAAAATTTGGCATCATTTGGCGACGGATTTGGATGAAACTTAGCTTTCGGGAATTTTTGGGGATGAAATGAACGATTTTGTCATTAATTTTCCGGGAAATTCTGGCCTTTTCAAAATGGTAACCTTAAGCGGTAAGAGAATACGAGAGGGGACCCAAGAAAACCTGAATTTTGCTGTAATATGCTGTAATAATGCTGGTGACAATGGAAAATTTCCAGGTTCCACCGCTAGGAGGTGTGACTAGGAGCTATGAAGAGTTGTTGGTTCATATTGCAACGTCGTAGCATGTTTCCTTTCGTTTTGGCGAGACTCAGTTTTAGGGGTTGTCTGATGAGTTCGCCGTTTTTGAGGATGGGTCAATTTCACTAGCAACACTTGGCGCTCAAATTTGTACGTCCTCTTCCTCCGTAAAATCACGGCTCTCTCTGTAAATCTTTTAAAGTGCTGCTTATGAAGGACAAGCCTCATCATAAACTTGAGTGTAAGTATGGTTTTTTCGATTTAAAAGGGGTGCTGTATAGCCTGAAATGTCCTCCTGACCTCAAACCGCCATCAACGGCAAGGAAGGATGAAAATATTTTTAAAAAACTCGCGTTTTTACGAGTGCGGATCGTTAGAAACCTTTTAAGTAACTAGCACATATCACTGGGTTGTCTTACAGATTTATTCACAACATTGCTGTGAGAAAATGCCTAAAACGCGCTGTTGTCAAATTGATCCCCTATTTACCATTGTCCCCATTGTCGGCCTCTCATGTTTGAACAATAAATCACACTATCAAACGAAAGAAGACATTTCCCCTCTTAATTTATTGGTGATTTATTGGTTCCATGTAAGATTCAGTCAAAAGATTAACAGAGTTACCCTTGTGTTGCCCTCGTGTATCACCTATTTTAAAAAACGACGAGCTCGCCAGACATTCGTCATTGGCGTATGACCGCAAAATGCCGTAAATCACCTCAAACTTACGATTAATGGACGGAAGTTAAGAGCGTGTTTATCATAATTTCGCGCTGGAACTAAACTTCTCACGTTAAAAGATTAATTTTTCAACAGCAAAAGAATTTCGGTCCCAGTACTGGAGCTCTTGGAGGAGGACTGAAGGGTGCCCATTGTTTCCACCCTGACAACGGGTTACAGACTTCTCTCCGCTGCACAATAGAGGGTGTCCAGCGAGCGGTCTGGTTATCGCGGGTGGGACTGATGCTTTGCCATTTACGGATTTTAATGCTGAATAAAAAGTCTCAGGTTCGTGAACGGGACTATAAGTATTCTCTTATTGCTCTAGGTCACCATTCTGACCGCCGTCATTGTGAAATGGACAGAATTTCCCCGAAAATGAATGCCAGAATCGTTTTTCTTGTCCTAATAAACCCCCAAAAACTATGTTTCATCCCAATCCATCATCAAAGACGGAGATGTCAAATTTCCGTTATTTTGAACTTTGACTGGTCGCCATTTGGTCAAAAATCAAGATTTGACTTGCGGTTTGCGCCTAAAACTTTCTTTTTTTATTCTCTTTCGATTGATGTCACAAAGGGGAGCAGGTTGTCTTTTGGAAGAAAAAAGTTGTTGTCCACAGCCCCTCCCTGAGGGGGGCGGGGGCCCCAAAAGTAGCCATCAATGATCTACGAACACACCCAAAGTTTCATTTTAAAATATTAATTAAGTATTTTAGAGGGGATAGAAGGGACTTATGGGACACCCTGTATGTAGAGTTTAGCATGACAGTTACATTTACTTTGCAGTGTTTCAGAATTTTATCTCTCATTAATTTTTTGGGTGGAATCTAATCAACATTTTTGCTTAAAATGTTAAAATAAACCTCCTTTGAGCAAGAAATTTTTTAGGAAAGCTGTTGTTGGTATTCTACTGAAAAATGATAATAGGAGATGAGATTTTGAAACACCGCAATGTGGATATGACTGTTTTGTTCAATGGACCACTAGACAAGGTACGAATTTAAGCAATCTGATACATGTTTCTTAACCAGAATTTCACGTAAAACACGATTCGCGCAACGAAAATTACTGAAACTAACTTCTAACGAAGATATTATCGTTTTTATTTCACATTGGTTACAAGGAATTTGAACTGCCCGCTCTCAAGAAACTCAAAGCTCTACGAGAGTCAAATCGCTCATTACAACGGTTTCAGAAAGCTTCTCAATCGAGCAATGTTCATTTTCCACCATGTGTTGTTCAAACTATAGGTACGCAATTTGCTATAGCTGAGCCAAAGCGTCAAGATTGAGGTTGCCAGATTTTTATACAGCAGAGACTGTCATAATAACATTCAGCGCGCGATGTGAATCACGTAGAGAATTGAGTTTTCATGAGCGGGTGGTTTGAATTCACGTATCAAGAATCGTTAAATATCTTTGGAAGGAGTTGAATTCGGTAATTTTCGTTGTGCGCGTCGTAATGTACGTGAAATATTAGTTACGAATCATGTATCAGAATGCTGAAATTCGTACCTTGTCTAGTGGTCCACTCTATATATATAATCCCTGACTAACATTGTCTTTTATTGCAAAACCTGTTTTACAGGTACGCTGAAGCAGTAAGTGTTAATAGTCAGTTACAAGGGTTCAAAGATAACATTTCAAGCCCGGGGTCAGTCAGTAACTCAAGTAAGCAGAATTTGCGCGTCCGTGACACCATTGTAGGTGTGATATCCAAGACATTGCCCAGTATCACGCATCAACTCTCTGCATTTTGCTCAGCGCAACAAAACTATGCCAAGAATGTGAAACAAGGTATCACCTACTTCCTAACTTTTTTTGTATGCTTCTGGTAGGAAAACTTAGGTTCGACAAATATAACGAACTCTGATTCTGTGGAATCTTGATCAGGCATAAAAATCTTGACAGTTCGTCCAACTCCAGCAAAGTTCCTGATTCTCGAATAAGAAATGCAGTCTCAATAGCCTCTTTTTCATCCCGGGACCCTTCTATCTTCTTTTTTTTGACAGTGAAAGAATATCCTCCTGATACCATTCTTCTCCAGATGTCCAGAGAGGGGTGTGCCAGGTCCCTTCAAGAGAGAGGAATCAAGTATTAAAGTAGAATTTGATGAAATTACCTTTCTCCCGATCACTTTTTATCCGGTTTTTAGACAATAGCTATTTCGATGTTAATCATCATCATCCGGTCACTTCGACTTCGATTTGGTAAACACTAACAGTCACATCTTATATTATTAAAATTTACTAAAATTTACTTAAAAAAACACTTTTAAAAATACTCGTGGGTGCACCCGTCGTCGCGAACGCGTCCTTATCACCGGTGTTCCAGCCGTTGCGTCATCGAGTTGCCCGTTCGTTGTTGGCCCAGTTTGTTGTCAAGCCTAAGGTCAGTCAGTAACTCAAGTAAGCAGAATTTGCGCGTCTGTGACACCATTGTAGGTGTGATATCCAAGACATTGCCCAGTATCACGCATCAACTCTCTGCATTTTGCTCAGCGCAACACACCTAGCCAGTGCTCGCTTCAAAAATCGGGCAAATCGTCGTTGGCAGATCATTTAATAAGCACTAAACATGACCCGGAAGCCACGGAAGTACAAGTAAAGAAAAAATGCGCCAAAGGAAAGAGAATGAACCTTTATGAGCAATTTTACATAGAGTCCCAGAAAGGTGACAACCTGCTCAATAACCAACAAGAGAGTGAGGTGGCAACAATGGTAGCCCCTCCAATCCTATTCAGAGATATGCGCACGCACCAACAACGAACGGGCAACTCGATGACGCAACGGCCGGAACACCGGTGATAAGAACGCGTTCTCGGCGACGGGTGCACCCACGAGTATTTTTAAAAGTTTTTTTTAGTAAATTTTAATAATATAAGATGTGCCTGTTAAAGTTTACCAAATCAAAGTCGAAGTGACCTGATGATGATGATTAACATCGAAATAGCTATCTTCTAAAAACCAGTTAAAAAGTGACCGGGAGAAAGGTAATCTCATCAAACATAATGCAGCCCGATAAAAAGAAGTTCAACTTTAAATTAAAGTAGAATTCAATATGCTAATGAGTGGCGCACCAACTAAAAATCTCTGCCGCTTGGGTTACTTTGTACTGGCACCAGCAAGTTCTCTCCTCTCTAGGCTGTTATTGCAACATATCTCTCGAATGGGTACTGCTTATGGTTAAAGGCTCTTGCATGGTTATTATAGATCTGGATTGAAATGTTTTTCTCAATTTGAATGATATTAATGTCAGACGTTGCTGAGTATGTAGGCTGAAGAGGTGCAAGACCCTTTTGCCCACATTCTACTCCACGAAAGGAAAGGGAAGGGGGCAGCTTCAACCCACGAAATTCAGAATTCTTAGGGAAATTCTTGGAAATCTTTCTCCTTATTCTACCCTGCTTTCCAGAATCACGAGAATCCCAAAACTCTGCACATGTCTGACTTGTACCTCCAAAAACTTGTCTTAGGTTACTCTGTATTATAATTCAAGCCAAATAATGCAAACAAACCCTCCAGAAATTCATGTGCATTAACAGCCTTCTGTCAGGAAATTCTATCAATTAAGTGCCCTGAAGAGGCAAATCAGAGGAACTTCTACTCCCTTGTAAAGTGAAGAGCCCAAAAATTTTGCAGTCAAAATTATTGTTTCAGTTTTTTGTACGTTGAACAATGTCAATTTTCTCTGTAAATTCTTATCCGTACTTTTCAAGAGCTTTATCAAACATGCAAGATCCACAAGTAATTTGAGGGCAAAAAACCCTTAGGCATTAACGTCACAAGGTACCTAATGACCCGGAAAGTTGAGAGATGCCGCAGAATTCTTGAAGACTTTCTTTGCAACATCAGACTAAAGAATAGAAGAAACTTGAACTGTACTGTATTGTGGGTAAGGTTTTTACCTCCAGCATTCTGGTTGAAAGAGTCAAAGGGAAACGCTGAAGTTAGCGAGGGAAAGTCAGGACTGTTTGCTGGACACATTCCCTGTCAAGGCCATTTAGCATAGTTCTTCCCGCCAGGCCCGGAAAAGGGGCCAAAAAAACGGCAAAATTTTGTACGCTCATGACGGTTACATATGTAACTGGTACTCTACAATTATTTCAGTGCATAATTTGTAGGCAGCCTTTCCATTGCAAAGCATAAAAATGAGCTATAAGGAACGCTGGTCACCGACCATTTTTGCCTGGAGTAACTGACAGAAAACGGACACTATGACTAGATTTGCAGTTAATGTTTTTTTCTAGCAACCCTTTTGAACCAAAAAGTGTATTGATCTCATAGGTGACAGTTAGGAAGTTTTTTCTTTTTTAGTTGAGCGACCAACTCCTTTGTCTATGATGGTGCACACCGAAAGTTCTCCAAAAAGTCTTCCTGCTCTACCCTACTATAAGACATCCAATCAAGCTCTAATCCAGGGAGCAATTAGCAAAACAAAAGAAATGTGGTCATCTTTACTCAAGACGCCTGCATCATCCAAAGTGAGACATCCTCGATCAACCATTGAGGAGACACCTTTCCTGAGAACACCTCGAACTTGTCATATGACTCCTGACCCAATGGCAGTTTTCAACTTGTAAGGCTCCAATACTCTCACGCGGTTTATTAATGCTCTATTTTAGGGTTCCCATTGACAGTGTAACACATACCTACTCCACTATACTATTCCTCTTTTAGGGGGCTTGCGGCCTAGAAATCCCTCTTGTTTTATTCTATTTTGAGAAGGCTTTTCATCTTGTAAGTATCTGATGATCAGTAGAACTTTGCAAGTCCCATTATTTTGATTCTAGTTAAGTGCAACTCAGAAGGTCCCATCCCCTTCCTGATGACCTCCAAGTCATATTTAAGTTTTCCTCTTATCTGTGTAAAGATCATATGGTGGATTTCAGCTAATAGGAGAAAATGGGTGTGGAAAGAAGTTGAAAAGTGATTTGGCCATATCAAGCTAAAGAGTACTTTTCTATCATCTTGAAGCTCCAGGTCATGGGGCACAATGTTGTGCATCGCAATATTTTTACGATTATGGATAGGGATGAGACTTTGAAGTCAGGAAAACTACCATTAATAACGGTTTGGTGGTGCTCACTGTTTTAGCGTTAAAGTCATTAGTTAGGCTGAGTTTTGATCTTCCTATGAACTAATTGAAATCAGTAGGCTGTAGCTATTTTAAAAAACAAAACAACAATTGAAACGCCTTTCAATAAAACAAAAATTAAATAGTCAGAAATTCATATTTATTACTAAATTTAAAGAATCCCCTCATTATTTTGTCTCTTGGTATCATAAAATAAGATGCATGCTATTCTGAAAAGATTATTTGTTTAGAGATATATGTTAAGAAGTGGTCTACGTTTTTAAATGGGCCTATAAAACGATGTTATTGAAAAATTGGACAGATAAAGTGTGTCATCAAAATGACATGTCATTCAAATGAGTCACTGGGTATGAGTTTTTGAATAGCCCTATATCAGAGAAATGTGTGAAATAATGAACAAAGATGACGTATCCCAAATATAATTTGGCGTTAATAGCTTTCTGAATGTTTCCCTGTTTTTTTTTGTTTGTTTGTTTTTTTTTTTTGCTTAAAAAGCAGTGAAAATTACTTTGTGTGGAAAAAAAAGTTACTCCTTCTTCTTTTGCATCGTCCAAAGTCATGAAAACGCATTTAAAGGCATTATTACTTGTTTTGCGCACAGTGGTCTATGAAAAACATTATTTCTTGGACGTCACCAAGATGACACGTCAGTTTGGTGGCTGTGAGTCAGTTACTGTGGGGCGTGGCGTCACCGAACTGACATTTTGAGGTAATATATTTTTCCTGCCAATTTACAGGAACAAAATAAAACAAAACAATGAGGATAGGTCTAAAGTACATCTGCAGCTGTTAGAAAAAAATATTCAATCACGCATTCCATCAAACGTTTTGAGAGAAATCAACGTCACCAAACCGTCGGTAAGTAAGTGAGACACTCCAAAAATCAGGGATTCGACTGAGATCATGATTAATGTAAAGGATATATGCTAATGTACCAAACCCCTATCGACCCCTATTGATACTCTGGCACTAATTAACGCCCAAAGCCGCACTGTGGCACTGTATTCTGGGTGATCACAAAGGAAAACTGAATGTGTCATCAAACTGACCGAATATTGAGTTTTAAACGCTTCGAGCCTCAAATAAAATGGAATAATGTTCTTCGCTGGTGTTCCAATGCATATTATATCAAACAATATACGGTCAAGATTTCTACACTATAAGCTCTGAGACCTCCTAATTTTGCGTAACTGATAACTCCTAGTTCCAGGGCTCTACCAGGCCGATTTTCATGATTTTTGCAGCTATCGACGGCCAATTATCCCTGGATGAACCCGCTCTATTCAGATTTTCAAAATATGATCCAGGTTTTTTTATATTACGTGGTAAAGATGCAAATTTTCCTATTTAAAGTGTTTGAGTTTTAAACAGTAACCTTTGAAGTTAAATCAATCAATTAATTTTAGTAAGTTCATTACTTAAAGATTTAGTTAAAATACCGCAATAATATTAATTTGTTAAATTAAAGTTAGACCATAAAAAATCTAATCTTTGAAGAAGAAAAGACAAATAACTAAACAAAAGTATGTCAGTTACACTGATAAAATGATTAAACTAATTATCTTTGTCTTTAATATAAACAATTTATATAATGCTATTTATCAATCAACCAGAAGTTAAAAAATGTTGTGTAAATTTATGTTTTTTGTCATAGTTCGTTTGAGCATTCTATCAGGCCAATTTCCATGATTTTTGCGGTTATCGACTGGCAATAGACCCTAGATGAGCCCGTTCTAATCAAATTTTGGAAATAGGGCCCAGGTTTTTTTACAAGCAAGTTATAAAAGTGAGTGAATTTACAGAATGCTCCGTTCCTGCTGCCGCTATGCGCAGAAGGTTGCGCAGTGACTAAGTAGCCTACACATCAGCTCTTCTTATCAACACAAGATTCGCCCCGATCACTTCAAGATGAGCGGTGGCCGAGTCGTCTAAGACGTTGGAAGCGCTCACATGTCTCAAGATGTGGGTTCGATTCCCGACTCCTCAGCTACTTAAATTAAGACCTGATTATCGTCATCCGTTGTTTTACTGCAATGTTTCATCAATCAGTCATTGCAAAACGCGTCCTTTTGACTTCAATTTTTTTATCTTTACTCATCAAAAACAAAAATGGTACCATTCTAAAAGTAACGTACACCTCATATCGTAATTTTTTAGGGGAACAATTAAATCAACATTGATAGGAGGCTAAAAATAGGGCAGCGAAGCGGTCCATTGTTACAAATAATTTGACAAAGCTCGCAAAAGGTCCTGGTTCATTTATATAATGAATTGATTCATTGACTACCTCACAGTTACGCGTCACAAAACAGACATTTTCACTGTTTCACACGTTGAAAAAAAAGATTAGAGTTGTTGAAGTCTCTAGTGGAATTTTTTGTGGTTGGTGTGACCTATCTCTACCAAAGGAAACAAACATTCAAAGAAAAGATCATGATTAAAAGGGTTTAGCGGCCAGTTACGGCCCATATTTTCTCCAGTCAGCTGAAATCCACCCATATGACTTGGGAAATCTGATTCAACAAGAGATAATATTCGATGTCTACAGATCTGGAAAATCGGAAATCGTCAAGGAATTCCACCCCACTACAGAATCCAAATCATTAAGCTTGCATGTTTTTAAGCTAGAACTATTTTAAAATTTCAAATAAAAATTGAAAAAGAAAAATTATAATCACAAAAGTAATTGCAACTAAATAGTAAGCTTCATATTTTTCTGTTTTATTTTAATGTTTCTTATTTGAATAAGGAGCATGTTAAAGTGAAAGTTGGTCTTAAGTGAAAAAGTAAGGTCTACCCAGAAAAAATAATGTTAGTGGTCAGCAGTTTCCTGATTCTATTAACCATTAAAATCCTCTTCCCCCCTTTGTAACCTTTGTTTCAGTCCCTTTTTTTACTTACCACCTATCTTGAGGAGACTATTCCGCATTCAGAAAATTATTTTTTCATTACAAGGCTAGCTTTCCAAATTACTTGATTTACTTAATGATGAAATCTAAACTTCAAAAGTATGAAAGGAAAATATAACATAAGAACTTGTTTAAAAAAGAATTGGTAGAATTTTCCATTAACAATAGAGGGAAAGATCATCAAATAAAATTGAGGGTTTCAAAATGCCGAGAATTTAAGCAACTGCAGCAGACAATAGGATGCCCGTTTTAGGATTGGGTAAAGCAGAGGAACCAATCCAATTAAAAAAATTAAAAACTTAACTGTAACGACGTAGGTACCTTGTTTTTATCGTCGTTTGAATTCTCCCTTTCTCATTTTATTTGAACATTAATAAAGAAGGGAAAAAAGAATTGAAGAATTAACAAAAAAATTAATTGTTCAAGGACTTATTAATCGTCTTCAAACATAAAAGAATATACCGTAAAAATTTCATGGGAAAATATCAGTTTCTAATTCTTAAAGGAATAAGAGAGAACTTGTACCTGGAAACATTTTAAACAGATATAATAGGATGTAAAGGAATCACATGCTACCAGTAGATGATGAACAGCATAACTGATCACACTGAATCAGAGCATGCACAATTGGAACTCTGAAATCGGATAAAAGGGTTGGTGGTAAGGGTGGTCAACGGGCCGACATCGCCGTGAGTCCGGGAATTCGCGAGGGCTGCACAGGGCGAGTGCTGTATGTCCGCAAAGCATGGCGAAAAACGCCGTGAGTGCCACCTGCATCCCGAGATTCCTGGACGTACGGCAGTCTATCGTTGCAACCTCGCCTCCTTGCGGAACATACGGCAGGCATCCCCCTCTATATCTCTAAAACCAATAAAAATACACCTTTGCCGACTTCACCTTTGTACAGTACCTTCACTTAGTATAATCTCATGTCCAACTCAAAAAAAATGTTTTGGCTCATACAGCGTTTTTCCTTAGCACGGCAGAACCTCCCCTCCAACCTCTCTTTATGCTATCTTTGAGCAGTTCTATGTTGTGTGTTAAATAAATCGCAATTCTCCATGTAATGGAGCTCTTGCATGTGTCAGGAATTTGCGTTTTAAATACGGATTCATATATAATATTTTGTGAGAAACACAGTGGTGCCACTGATTTTCTCTGAGATCAACTCCAAAGCTCAAAAAAAGCTGAGGCTTTAATGGAGGGGATATCTCATGCTACTCCGAGAGGTCACTTCTGTATAAAGATAAAGTCTTAATGCACAGATAGGCAGCAAATAGATTAACCGAGTCGCCATTTCATATAGGGACTCCAAAACTGAATCGCAGCAACCTTGCTAATGTATTTGCTCCCTATCTTTGCATGGAAAGTTTGACTAGGTACAGAAGTAGACCCTGCTAGGTATTTGCTCCCCATCTTTGCATGGAAAGTTTGACTAGGTATACAGGTGGACTCTCAGTTGCATGGGATATCCCCTCCATTCAGGCCTCAACTTGGAGAGTTTTTTTTAGCTTCGGAGTTAATTTCAGAGAAAACCAGGGGCACCATCATGTTTCTCATGAAATTTTCCGAAAGTCAAGGTACTTAAATCACAAATCCTTCGCACATGCAAGAGTTCCATTATATCACAATTTGTGTGGATTTATGTTTGATGATCTAGCCTCTGTATAAAAAAAATCCAGTATCATCCAGCAAATTTTCCTAACTTTTTCACTTTAAGAGGTGAAAAAAAAAGGTAAAGAGGGACTTGCAATGTTCTCCCCTCTAATGTTATACATTTAAGTAGCTCCAATCCAAATTTTTTGTTGATCAGAATGGTGTGCCACACCCTGAAATGCAATTTCCTAACCTCAAAATAGCTTTCATGCCCTGTTTGGCAGGAAAAAATGGAAAAAGAGACTTGCAATTTCATCCAAGGAAATCTTTAGTAATTGAACATAATTTTTGGAGTAGCATCTATACATAAGGGTAACAAGATAAATGATAGAACCTCGATGCTCATATTAATTATTACTTACATATAGTGCATGTGGGAGCCAAAGCTTTTCGAGCGTCCAGTTCTCATCAGCAGGGCACCTGTACATGGAGGTGTATACAGTAATAGGGTTTTCTGTAAAAAGGTGACAACACTATAGTATTTTTTAGGAATCTTTGCTTGGTCTGGCCGCAAGTAATTAAACATGATTTTTGGAGTAGCATGTATACACAAGATTAACTAGATAAATGATAGAACCTTGATGCTCACACTAATTTTGTCATGTACATATAGCACATGCAGGAGCCAAAGCTTTTCAAGCGTCTAGTGCTCATCATCTGGGCACTTGTACATGGAGGTGTGTACAGTAGTAGGGTTTTCCCTAGAAAGGTGACAGTACTATAGTATTATAGTACTATACTACCCTATCTCTGTATACACCTCCATGCACAGGTACTCCGATGATGAGCTACACACTTGAAAAGCGTCGGCTCCTGCATGTACTATACAGGGTGTTTCAGACCACCCGTACCAGGTCTTTTTCTCGGTTGGTTTAGATCGTACTAAGTCAGGGACCGCGGGGTTGAATAGGGAATTGACCCCAAGGAATCCGAATTTCGTGGTCCCGAACCCCCTCCCCCCCCACTCCCCCTTGGTGGGTAAAGGTGGGTCACGATGCTAAAAGTCACGGTTCCCGACCGAATTGCGGATTAATCGCATCAGAATTGAAAAGCATGGAAAATTTCACCCCCGGGAAATTGACCCCTAAAAATTCACAATCGGCCCATCCAAGGCCCAAAAATGACACAGAGGGGGTCAGTACCCCCCTTCATAGTTTCTCTTTGGTATCAAAATTGACGTAGGTTCTCCAGAAAAAGATGATTTCCCAGGTAATTGACCCCGAGAAATCCAAATTTCATGGTCCTGAAGCTCCTCTATCTTCTCTTGAGGGGTAAACGGGGGTCCAAATTTTAAAAGTCTGGGCTCCTTTCCGAAATTGATTGCATCCAAATTGAGGAGCAGAACACATTTACATCTTAAGTGACCCCCAAGAGTTCTAATTGACCCCCCTGAACGGCAGAAAGTAAAACCCTGAGGAGGAGTGCTTTGCCCCCTCCAAAAATTTCTCAAGATTCCTCCTTGGTCGCAAAATTGACGTCGATTCTCCAGAAAAAGACGGTTTCTTCCCAAGAGGGCGGGTAGCAGAGCTTAGGGAGCATGGAATTCAGAGTCCTCGGGGTCGATTACATGGAAACCCGTCTTTTTCTGGAGAATCGACGTCAATTTTGCGACCCAATAGGAATCTTGAGAAAATTTTGGAGGGGGCGAAGACCCCCTCCTCAGGGTTTTACTTTCTGCCGTTCAGGGGGGTCAATTAGAACTCTTGGGGGTCACCTTAGATGTAAATGTGTTCTGCTCCTCAATTTGGATGCAATCAATTTGCGATTCGGAAAGGAGCCGCGATTTTTAAAATCGGGACCCCCGTTTACCACCCAAGGGGGGATAGAGGAGCTTCGAGACCATGAAATTTGGATTTGTCGGGGTCAATTACCTGGGAAACCATTATTTTCTGGAGAATCTACGTCAATTTTGAGACCAAAGAGAAATTATGGAGGGGGGTACTAATCCCCTCTTTAGGGGGTCACTTTTAGGCCTTGGATGGGCCGATTGTGGTTTTTAGGGGTCAATTTCACGTGAAATTTTCCGTGCGTTTCAATTCTGATGCGATTAATCCGCAATTCGTTCGGGAACCGTGATTTTTAGCATCGTGACCCCTCCTCCTTTACGCCCCAAGAGGGGTGGGGGGGTGGGGGGGTTTCGGGACCACGAAATTCGGATTCCTTGGGGTCAATTCCCTATTAAACCCTGCGGCCCCCGACTTCGTACGACCTAAAACAACCGAGAAAAAGGCTTGATATGGGTGGTCTGAAACACCCTGTATGTAAGTAATAAAATTAATTTGAGCATCCAAGTTCTATCCTCTATCTCGTAAATCTTTAGTGTTAGTTTTTATAAAGGCTACCATGTCGCGCTAGAGGTGTTCAAACGAATTCTTGCCGGAACACTATCGACATCGTCTCTTATTGAAACTGGCGACGATATCGACAACAGCCGGCCTTATCGGAGTTTTGAGAGGTCGCACTCAATGAATTGTTGCCCCGTGTGTCGGTTTATCAGATTGCCTAGCGCGGCGGCGCGTAAAATAGATGTACAAATGGCAACATCTTATTTTCGCCAACTCCGAAAACTCTGATTGCTATCGGCAAGAGCGCTCTTATCGTAAGTTTTTCTTAACGGAACTGTTTCGGTAGCTTACCGACAACCAATAGAACAGCCCTATGTCGCGCTGCTGAAGTCTGGCCCTGAAATTAGAGATTAGTTTAATAACACATCAGATGTATTAAATTCTAAGACTCATAAGTCGCAGCATAGGTACAGAATGTTTAAAACCAAACACAAGCTTTGAAAGTTCAATAATAAAGGCTGATACTTGATCCCAGTTTCTCTTATGGGATGCCTGTAAATGCGAGAAAGATTGTTCTTAGCGGGAAAGAGACATCTGCAACTGCTGAGAGAGATTCTTTGTGATTGGTCACATCAAGGTCATTTTGTTTAACCCTACTTTTTCCCAAGATCAAGTTACAGAGCTTCAGAAATTACTTTTCATGTTCATTTTAGTGTCAATAGACAAAAGAATGATATAGCTAGAACTTATGACTCTTCGATTTTAACAGAAATGACTCATAATAGCGTACGGACTCCAATGGGGAGAGCCAAAAATCAATTCACAGAGACGGCACCCCCTATGCGAAAAAATTTCTCAGTATGCTCTGCTGAAGATTCACCCTAACTCCCTTCTTAAGTAATGTCTTCTTAGTAAAGTAGTAGACTTAAAAGAGGCATGTACAAGATTGATTTTGTAAAGTAAAATGAAACACAAATCACTTTTAAGAAGAAACAGAGAGTACTTAAGAGCCATGAAACAAATCTCTGAAAGGTCCAAAATCTGTCTTCCTTTCATAGGGATTGGAAAGCGCGAACCCAGGAAGGTTTCAAGAAAGCAAGAAGCGTTATTTTTATTTATCTATTTTTCCTCCTGAACAAGTCTAAAGAAAATTAATCATCTGACAAAAATAATACAGAAAAATAAAATCAAAACCCCGAAGATGCTGAAATCTACTCTTAAGTACGGAAACATTAACTCCGCTTCACATAAGCGTCTGGAATTCATCCAGCAGGGACTAACTGTCGCAATCAAATGTTTTTACTTTCCTCAGTAATGATGCAAAGTTCCATGCAAATTCAAATTTTTATTGAAGCTATGTCCAATTTACAGGTGTAATGTAGAGTCACGGAAACCATTTAGCACAAAACGGCAAGCTGAGTCACCTGTTAAATCTGACATTTTGCATCAGGAAAAGCGATCACGAAAAGATACAAGTGGAACTTCTACATTTATGGATGGAAAACTATGGAATCTAACCACAGATCTCTCAGGAGATACTCTTAGATTCCTACGGACACCAGTTGTACAAAGAAAAGTTACCCCTGTCAATAGTACCCAGGCAGATCGTTCTACTCCTCTGTCTATTCTCAAAGTAAGATTTGCCTTGTGACTTTAAGGTCCTCTTCAAACTTACTTGGCTTTAGATCTCCTTTAGAAGTGCAGAAGTAAGCTGAATCCTCTTCTGTAGGCATTCTCAAAATAATTTCAAGTCAAAAAGATCCACCATGAAAATTAGAAACTTCTGACATAACGTGTTGATTGCCAAACTATTTTCTGAGTTAGGGTCTGCAGCTTCTTGAATACAGTTTTAAACTGCAGTAAATCTGCATGCAGAAGGAAGGTGCATTTAAAAAAAAGAACCTAATCATGGCGATAGTTATGTGAGATGGCGTAGCTCAGGGGGGGTAGAGCGTCGCAAGTGCTAGTGCAGACGCAAGGCGTCGCAAGAGCAAGTGCCGACACGCGTCGCGACTGCTGTGCAGACGATGGCGTCGCTAGAGCAATGCAGACGCCGGGCGTCGCAAGTGCAGAGCTGACACTCGTCGCAACGGCAGTGCAGACACAAACGGGATAGACACGGGAAGAGGCGTAGACAAGAAGAGAACCAAAAGTGATATGAGATGCAATGTCTAATGCTGATCGCTACAAAGGGCACACACAGTTCATACAGCTTTGACTCTGGGTTGATGGGATGAGGAGCGGCCAAGTGCCGCTCGATCGCCAGTCTCTCCAAGAATAATCCCAGGGCCCAGCTCCGAGGAGCTCCCTAGGTCTCCGGCTCTGGCTACCCCCTCCACTTGACTCGGAACCGGTCAAGCCTCGCCCTGCGCATGCGCAGAAGGGATACTACCC